TGCGTAGTGGAATGTCAGCACTACTACCACTACACCTACTAGGATAAACCCCCCTCCCCACTCTGAGCGCACCGCCCCTCGCTCTAGCCAGCCATCAGCGGCCGCCGTACTTAGTAGGACAGTGCCGCAGTGCTGGGTTTCAGCTGTGGCCTGCTTCCTTATTGGTGAGATGGAGGGAGAAGGGGGAGAGGGAGGGAGAGGGGAGGGAGAGATTGGAGATGCCAAAAGGTAGTGCCATGCAGGGGTCAGACTGCTGCATGGGTGTGGTAGTTTTAAGGAGGCTGCAAGTACATCATTTAAGTTAAAACAAAAACATCGAACAGTTACTAATAACAGCTCTTCCAAATAATAACTTTTACATTTTTTTTTGTTAATGTATTTATTACAGTTGGTATAATCCTTTTTTAAATATGAATTGCTGAGCTATCCAAAATATAGTCTTAAAGTAATTGGCAGCAGATTTAAAATGGTCTTTTCCAGTTCACTTCCCTCGTTCCTAATCCGCTGCTTTTTCGGCACATTACCTCATCTATTCAAATATGCATGTGTTTCAAGTCCTACTACTACTACAACAAATACTACTACTGTACTCCTCTCTACTCATCCCCGAGCTGTCCTCTGATTGGCCGGAGCAATGTTTTCAATGGCACAAAATTTTTTTCGACTCCATGGATACAGCGAGGAGTTGGGTAGACTGCGCTCAGCCAATGGGAGGGCTGCGCGCTCTCCTGGTTGTCAGATTCTGCCCCTGGCCCTAGAAGCAGCCCTCCCCTCCCTCTCTCCCTCCCTCTTTCTCTCCCTCTCTCCCCATGCACGCGATGTCTCTGTGGGGGGGTTCAAAACAACAACACTCTCCTGCCTGGGACATGTCAGCACCTCTAGTGGACAGTTTGGGAGGGGCGACTTTCAATCCCCAATTTACGCCTCTGATATACAAATCCTACTACACTATCACTAAGCAACCAGTCATAGTAACTCATGTGGGCTCACTAGATAACTAAATGGAGCAGGACTGTCATAAGAAGTGTATTGAAGATGAGACAACCTTGTGTAATCTGTTTATGTAATCCCAGTTAGGAGCTTGACCTCAAAATCGATAGCATGAAAAATTCACTGTACATGGTATATAAATTATGAATGAATAGTATGTCTTTTTAAATGATTTTTACTCATTTAAAAACCCAGTGTGCTCAGCTAATTACAAGGGGTAAGGTGTTTAGATTAGATACAAAATGTATTTTTTAAATTTTGATTTATAGACTCACACATTTGGTATGTGGAGTTATTTTTACAAAAAAAAAAAAATAAATCAATAACTTCATTGTGGGACTTGAATGTTTTCCAAGTTTCATAACATAGTCTCTCAAATCATGAAACTTTATGATCTTAAATTTAAATTTCTGGTGTACTCCAAATCATAAATTTAGCAACCACACCTACAAAAACCCAGTTTTTGACCTTATTTAGACGCACCCAGGGGAGCATTTGTTCCACTGAAACGACACTGAATTCTTGCAGCGCCACTTGCATTTCCCCACTCTGTTGATAGGTGGCGCTAGAGGTCCAGAGGAGGCCCAGCTCTAGTGGGCACTGCCCCTACATCCAGCAGGGCGAGGTTACCATGGGCGCCACAGAGGCAGGATCAGGTGCCGCTCAGAGACATGCAGGGAGGGGCAGGCACACACACACACGCACACACTAGTACACACACACACATACGCACACATTCAGGTCACATTAGCACAGGGCACGAGATGAGAGGCTGCCAGGTGGGGGTGCAGGTTGTACCACTCACAGCATTCACTTTAACAAAGTCCACTAGCCTCAAACTCCACACCCAAAACATCATAGTGGTAAATTAAGGATGGAACAAGATCTCGTGCCACAAGATAAAAATAAGATTGTGCACACATCTGCGAAATTATCTTGTGAGACTTTTTTCCCATAGGTTTACGTTTGGCTCCATTTAAAAAAAAAAAAAAAAAAAAAAAAAAAAAAAGCACTGGTGAGTGGCAAAAAATCTAAATAATAAATGTTGTGGCCAAAATTATGAAATGAACTGTGTCATTTATTAAAATTCAATCAACATCTTGTCTTGTTTCATGTCTGGCCTATCTCGAAGTAACTGTCTTCTCCTTCACATTTTGGTAAAATTTTCGAATGAAAATAAGTTTATATTGTGGTAAAGCTACATTACTGTATAGTGTATTTTAGGTGCCAGCAAATCTTTGACCTCCAAGTAACTGCCCCTCAGTCTTTTCCTAGAAAGTGATCTTAAACACTGCAGGAAAAAAGATGTCAATTCATCAGTATCATCTGAGCAGAATAAGGACATGACCCACTGCGACGCTCACATATTGCTCTAGCATGTCCTCCCTCCCTGTGCTGATGCGCATCTCATACATTTTAAACCTGCCTCACCAGTGCTGAGTGTGTACTTTGCTGTCGCAGTACTAGTAGCCCCCCACTAGCCTGTGTCATCCCTCACCTGCCACTCGCATCACCTGACATCTGCCTGCCCAGGTCTGCTTCCGTCACTGTTCGGCGGGGGTGCTCCTGCCACATCCGCCCCGTCACAGAGGGTTAGGTCTGTGCTGCTGATGACGCCTGTTACTTGTGTCCACTGTTACAAAGTGGAGCAGAGTGAAGACTTGACATATGCCTGACCTGGGTTTCTCAGAAGGACGCTTTCATACTTTCTAGGAGTTGAAGTCAAGGAGGCTTAATTTAGAAAGGGTACATCATATGCACTTTAAGTACTAGTACACAGTGATATGGACACCCCCAAGGTATGGCAGCTGAGTTGATGTCGGGTATCAGGTTGTGCTTTCTAGTTATTCTTTGTGCAGCCTCAAAGAATGACCTACTGCTTGGTTTGTTTTTAGCAACCTTTATTAGGTTTTTGGTCTTTTGGACATTCATTGATATGATGATACAGTTTCACTGAAAGAGATTTAGCAGCTCATATGAACGCGCAAAGTCCAGAAGCAAGGAAGTGCTCTCATATATGCAGAGGTCAAGCATAACATTGAGTTTAGTCCACTGTACCATCAGCACCTTTAAAATTGTAACTTCAGTAATGACAAGAGCCCAGGCTTTACTATCTCTTATGTATATGTATATATATTTTCAGGGCATTTGATTTCCACCTCAAAGGAAGCCCAAAAATCTGACTAACTGACCATACCCACAATAGTACTGGGCAGTAGTAGTTGTTAAATGCATTTGAGCTGAACATTATTTCTCTTCTACATCTGGCAAAGTTAGTGCAATATGTAGTATAGGGCTTAACAATATTTTGCAAAACTACTAATAGCTTCTGGAGTAATAATCTGTATCGCAAGAAAATTAATATATCCGTTTTACAATAGTGTCCAGTGTCTGGAAAGTAAAATGGACACAAGGCAGATTGTATTAATTTGGGTTTGTCTTGGTTTTGTCTTTAGTGTTTATTTTGATCCAGTTTTTCTTGTAAAAGAAGGTATGTGTCTTATGAATGATTTTTACTCATTTCAAATTTTAAAACTTTAGAAACTTTATAATCTTCTTAAATTAAAAAATCTTGTGTGCTCTAAATCATACATTTAGATTCACATCCACAAATACCCCAGTTAAAAACCTGATTTGGACACACTCAGGCGATAGAGGACCAGAGGAGACCCCGCTCTAGTGGGCACTGCCCTCGTCTAGCAGGGCAAGATTAACTGAACTTATTGTGCCAAAAAGTATATTAAAATATTGCATCTATTTGTCATGCAGTGCAGTCCTAATGTAGTGTGCATTTTGTTATTGTTTCCCTAACCCTTGAGAATTACTGGATTGGCCTATCTGTATGTCAACAAATTATTTCGCTGTGGCCTTGTCTTTTATAGCTCCTGCAGTAATAATGAGCCCCTGTTACTGTCACAACTGCTCTATGTACTTACATTACAATGACTTGTTAAATATTAATACAATCTTCAGGTCATATTACCACTGAGCTTTATTGCACATCTGGAAAAACAGACCTGTGCTCAGACATTCAAGTTAATTCAACTGTTTTTCTTATAGCAGATAACAATATTTCGAGTCTGTGGTTTAAGAAAAAAAGCTTGTAAATGATTTCTGGGAAGCGAGTTAGTAAACCATAAAGGGTTAAACAGATTTGGTTATATTTGTATCATACCTTTTGCTTTGCTCTTTGTTGTGACATCTGGTTGTAGTGGGCACAAACACGAGGGGGTCTTTGGGGAGCGCTGGTCTGTGAGCGGTGGGCACATCTGGGGCAGAGTCACAGGGTTCACTGGGAGCACTCAACCACAGCAGTCTGCGGAGTTACCCCTGTCATGCAACGCCCTCATGAAAATTTTAGGATATGGATCAGCCCCTTACTGTACGCTGAATTAACTACTGAACATTGCACGATAGGGTCAGAAAAGGCTACTGGCTTCATAGTGCAATGCCCAAATAGTCACCAAAGGGAAAAGTGACAATTTACCAAAAAACTTGAATAATTTATGAAATTATACAAATATAGTGGTAAGTGAATAACTCTAGTAATTAAATTGTTCAGTTTTAGAGGTGGACCATGTAACATTTCTGGTGGAGTGTCCTCAACCTTATTGTCTCCATGAAGACAATGAAGATTAGGGCTGGAATTTTTGTACCTCAAACAACAAAATTGTACGTTAGAAAAATTGTAATTTGACATGCCCGAAATGTTCTCCAGTATGGCGTTAATATCATCTTAGTTACATGATGCATCTTTAGGATTGATAATTTTGTTCACAGATTTAAAAACAATTGAGATATTATCACTGTAAAATTTTCATTTCAAATAGTTATGTTAATTGCTTCATATTCAACACTTATAAAATAAACTGGATTGTGTTTAACTTAATTTTGCATTCAATATATTGACTTGACTGACTATGGCTTCCTTCTCAGTTTAGTTTGAGTATTTTTTCAGGTTGAGCTTTTTTCCCTTTTTATTGATTCAACTCTTCCCCTTACATCCACAGGTAGCAGAACATGGGGAACCTCCTGAAAGTTTTGACGTGCACAGATCTGGCGCAGGAGCCCAATTTCTTCCTGGACTTCGAGAGTGAGTGCTGCCCCATTTCCTCTTCCGATATCGATCAACTCAATCTCTCTCTTAATGACATTATAAACTCTGAACTGAAGTCTTACCCGACCTCTCTTATCTTCCACACTGTGATCCTTCCCAGAGGCAAGCCAATCAAATACCACTAAAGCCTCTCCAGTTTCCATCAACCCATCTCTTCAATATCGGAGTGTGTGGAGAATTTCAATCGGGCACCGCCAGTACCCCTCCTCTGTCTATAAAGTTCAGTACTGTATTGCCTAGGGCTCCATAGAATTCTCTGTAGCATTTTGACACTTGGCAAACCCGCTATACCCCAAACCTTTAGATAGAACAAACCAAAAATGACTCACATACCCACTTTTATATTGTAGCTTTTCTATATTTTAAATTCATTTAGTATTTTGCGTAGACCCAGTGGCATGCATTAAAAATACATCTCGAATTAAAAATGCATGGGCGTCGATATGAGCCATTGCAGGTATTTTTTGCAGAGCAGTCGGAGCTTCTAACCCGTTTCAAACTTGGCACACCGAAGTTGCTTCAGGTGTTAGATTTTTTTTGGCAATTTTTCCTGCCAAAATCTCTCCCAAAACAGTTCAAAAACTAGCCAGAATACAATGCATAGTAGGGTCTTATCTTACTCCATTTGTCAGAAAGGGGGTGGTATCCAAACTAAATAGAAAGCGCTAGAAAGATGAGATTACAGCGCAAAGAAACATTACCATAATTGGAAGTAGCATATTCAATTTTCATACTCAGAGCTCAAAGGATTTTAATAGATTTCCTCGACATGTCTTTTCGGACTATATGTTGATTAAAGATTAGATGTGAATCGGATCTGCCCTACTGACCTTGTTGTGTTGTGTTTTTTGTTGTTTTTTTCAATCAGATGCCCAGCCCACAGATGCTGAGCGCAATGTGTGGGAGCAGGTGGATGTAGTGCTCAAAGATGCCAAGGGGATCCTGGATGAGCTGCAGGCGTACAAGGGGGCGGGTCAGGAGATCAGAGAGGTAACGCAACCTCTGACCAAAATGGGACATAATGGTTTTTACCAAGGTTGAACACAATATTACAATTCCTTTGCTACAACATTAAATAGATTATATTATACTATATTATGTTTCATGTTATATATGTTGTTTCCTCATCAACATCTCTTTTGAAATTATAACATAACAAGAATCAATTTTGTGCAATATAGGATGTTAAAATTATACTATATCTTTATCACAAAGTTTAATATAAATATAAAGTGGTAGAACTAAATGCATAGCTATTAGGGGTGATGATATTCAAATCTCTCAATAAGATATTGTCATGGTATGAACCTCACGGTACGATATTTATTGCGATATCATGGGAAAGCTCATGATATGGTGGGGAGGCTCATGATTAGGAATGTAACAATATCCAAATCTCTGGGTATGATATTTATTACGATATTTTGTGGAGGCAAAACTGTTAATGCGCTACTTTTTCCTCTTCAAATGCCTTGACAAGACTTAATCCAAAGAATTAATACTTAAAAGTGCTTAGAACTGTTATTTCAAAAGGATCATGGTCTGTGTAGTTCGCTCTGTTTTTTTTGTTTGTTTTTTTCCCCTTGGCTATTGCTGCACCATAACTCTTAATTTAAGCAAAGAGACTTGTGATTCGATATATTGTGATGGTCCACGATATTATTGTGAGATCATTGACGATACGATATCACGATATTTCAGTTATTGTTACATCCCTAATAGCTAAGGTACTTGCATTGTAATTACTCATGAAAATGGGCTATTCTAAAGTTATTCTAATCCAAAAACATTCATTTTGTCATCTTTTGTACATTAACTTGGGTTTTAAAGACAATACAGTAGGAGATGCATTTACCTTTGTGTCATGTTTCAGCTTGTAGCTGCAAGCCATCATCTAACCCACAGTTACATGTACATGAAAAAAATGTCTGATTGAGCTTTGAAAATATATTCCTGAAATGCTTCTGATTGGAGCTTTAAAATATTACTGTTCATTTTTGAGCATAAAGTCTTTTAAATTGGTATTGTTGTACAGATTCCACTTCATCTCTATCTCACACTCTCCTGTGCGTCTCCTTATCTCATACCTACTACACACTTTCCATGTCCTTTCAGTACATCACTGCATCCGTACATCTCCTCTTTAGTCTTTCTCTAGACCGGTCTGTCTGTGTTCTGTCTTCCAATCTCACGACTCCTCCTGCACCTGTCCAACCATCCCATTTTAGTTTTCAAAATATCAAACGTGAATTATTCCTCTGATGTACTCCTTAAAACGACAGATTTGAAAAATTGCAAAAATGTTGTTAGCATTATTATACATAACATGGCTATCAAATATTACATGTTTTCTCCTATTGTGGCACCTTTAGTTGTTCTACTGCACATAAAGGGCAGTATTGGCTTTGAAGAGTCTAAAGTGGTGCCAATCATTTGTAAAAACTGGGTCGTACCACTTTGATTCCTCGTCAAGCCCAGTGTCTACTCCTGGAACTGTCTCCCGATGGTTGCATAATGATGACATCCCTTCTGCTCATCCTTCACTCTTCACATAAACATGGTCTTATGAAAACACTAATGAGTAAACTTCTATGTGGAGGAAATTGTATTGTGGCCCTTGTTAAACCCAAGCAATAACTCTCCAATTAGAAAGTGATTTTGTTTTATTAAAAATGTTGATTATTTTTCTGTTCTCAGGCCATACAGAATCCGAATGATGAGGCGTTACAAGAGCAGGCATGGGCCGCGGTGGTGCCACTGGTGGGGAAACTGAAAAAGTTCTACGAGTTCTCGCAAAGATTAGGTGAGTTTGGGCTGTGTCTGTTCTGCCAATAAAGAGGACTACAGTGAAACCGGTCTAATCTATAGCACTATCTACAGTCTGATTATTGGCAATATGATGTTCTCGTCCTTTATGTAAACGCCGACATAGCCTCCATACATGACCTTAATTGTTTGATGTGCATCTGTGATATTGAGCGCTGAGCTGCAAAAGTCAGCAGACAGACGCCACATACACATTACATACCATTATATAAGTAGATCCCCCCCCTCCCTCCGCTGCATTGCTTGCGTTGCTCTGTGCATTGACCTGTCTGTAGGATGAGGTCACATTTGTTTAATTAGCGTAGATGGGGGTGGGGCTGTAGGCTTACTGTCTCTGATCTTCTTATGACCTCGTGTTTGGGGGGGCTGGGGGTGTGAGGCTCAAGTCTGCCGCGCCTGGACGCTTATAATCCCAGTGGCGCTAAAACAAGGTAGTCAATGGATGGCGGCGCTCCTCTGTGTTACATAATGAGAGTGAAGTAGGTCAGTGCTGCCAAGCCGAGGCTCTGGGCCTGTGCCTGGACTCAGGCTCCAGAGCTGTGATGGCTCCTCTGTCCCTGTCATGTCTGATCTGTGGATAAGGCTTCTGGGCAGGGCTATGGGGGGGACTGAACGTAACCTAAAGACCTAAAGAAGGTGTGACTGCCAGCAGCTTATGTAATCGGCTTTGTACACAATATTCTATATACTTTTCTTTTTCTTCTGAACGGGACTGAACTGAAATACTCTGAAACACTAGTTTTCACAAAGTAAAAAGTGAATAATTTTAATATCTCTGTCATCTGTTGAGCCTATGAGGTCTCCTTCGCTCTGCTCCCCTCCACAGTGACCTCCTGGCCACAGTGTACCCTGTGTGTGTGAGACTTGATGAGAGGGGACATGTCTCTGCCCCACCCAGCCCTCTCCTTAGCGCACCCAATGGCTCACTCATTCAGCCTCATGGCTACTCCCTTTTACTTTAGTTTTGACCGAGGTGATGCAAACATGCTCCTCTAAGGACAGTCCTAATCAGGCTTCAGTACAAATGCTGCCTAAGCAGATGGGAGTCATTATTGAATGGCAAACGTGCTCAATTTACAGTAGTGCAGAGCCAGCTCTGTGTGTCTGAAATGCCTGATTATCCTCTGTGAGCACTGTCCATGGTGAGCTCTCTCCTCTGCTCCTCGAACTGTTTATAAGTGGAGAATATGAAAAGTTGTATAAATCTTCCTGAAAAGCCTAGCCTCATACATCAGATGTGCAGCAGTTATGTCATTTGTGATGCCTCTTTTGTGTGTCTAGACTGTTTCTGAGCACTGTCTGCATCTATAAATACAACCTCCCTGTGGGCACCAGAGGCGCTCACGTTTTCTTTAAACTGTTTGGACCAGACATCTTAGTCCTTTAATATAAATTCTTTGGAGCCTGTTCAGAGCATTTGGTTTCATTATGTCCCCATTTCCCTGTCTCTTCTCCTCATGCATGTTTAATTACAGATGTATAGGCATGCACAGTGGGTTCATGACGACACAGGCCTGTATTTACTTACTGTCAAAACAATGAGTCTAATCCTGCTTGAATCAAATCCTGCCCCCCTGCCCCCTCCACTCTATGCCAATGAGATAATTAGTCCCATGTCTGTTGTATGTGTTCCCCTGCCCTCCAGACTGGCACTGGGCCCTGGGCAGTCTGGGCACCGCAGCAGCTCCATTCTGTGTGTGCCTAATGGAGATGCCTGCACTCCCTCTGCACTCTTCACATGTTAGGCTGCAATGGCCTCATTGAATCGGCCTTTATTCAACCTCAATCAGGCCATAATGTACTGAGCAGTGAAGCAGGCCTACTGACATGAAATGATGAACCAAGTTTGCACTTTTTCAGATTATTGACTCATTTATTCATGTTAAATTGACTCACTTGGAGGGTTTGAGGGGTTGCGGGATATTATCACCTAACCACTTAAATTGAATACATTCTATATCTAACATGCACTCCTGCAGAACTAAAACTGCTTACTGCAATTACAGCTTATGGAATGACTCTAGCTGCCATATCAAGGACACAAACACAAGTTGTTTTTAGTAGTGCAATCTGGCAACCCAAACCAATAAGCTCATTCAGCTTTCAGGATAATGACTTGTGAACCTAAACAAAACAACATAATTTTCATCCACATTGTTTTCATTCAAATCAATATTGGATTTGACCGTGCATACATTGTATCTGGGGGCACTTTGGTAATACGCTTATGAAAAATTTTATGAAATTACCTTTTGTCTATATGGCTTTTCAGGCCACAATGCTTAGAAAATATACAGTAGTATGCAGAACTTCTTTTAACTAGCTATTGATTTTATAATACATTTCCGCTTAATTCCCTTTTTCCCTGAGTGATATTCATTAATAAATTGTCTTTCTCGTGATCAGCTCCTTCACTGATATATTAAGGTTTTCTAAAATGCAGAGTAGTGCTGATACACCCCATTCTTCTACATAAAAGCATTTTTCCTCTGACTTACGACCTCTGTGTTCTCAATTTCCATCCCGACAGAACGCTGCACCATCACTTGTTGTTAACTGGCCTCCACATCTTTCCCATATAAATTGTGCACATAATGTATGACTTTTCACTCCTGCCTCATATATTTCCCCTCCCGTGCAGAGGCGGCGCTGCATAGTCTCCTGGGAGCTCTGACCAGTGAGACCTACAATGACCCCACTCAGCACTTGGAGAGGGAGCAGGCCCTGGCCAAGCAGTTCGCCGAAATCCTCCACTTCACCCTGCGCTTTGATGAACTCAAAGTAAGTCTGGTTTATAACAATAATAGCTGACAAATGAAAAAATGTTAATTGTGATTTATTTGATTCATCTTAGTTAGATTTTAAATATGAACAGCAATTTCATACAAGAATGTCATGCATTCAGAACATTAACTGCTAAATGGTCAGATTTTGATATAGCGCTTGTCTACCTTCAAGGCACTCAAAGCACTTTACAGCAAGGAACCACTCATCTATTCACACAAACATTCAGACAACAATGTATGCAAGATGGGTCAAGTGTATTGCCCAACTGAGCTACTGTCGCCCAAGAGGGTAGTTGTCAGGATATGCTAATTACAGCCATTCCAATTGTAATTTGTATTCAAATGTGATATATCCTGCTCTTGCCTCCTTGTGTCTCCCAAAAGTCAAGATTTCAAATGGTGACTCTGACACCAACTAGTCATTGTAGTGACCAGAGAAGTCACTCATCTGCCCCACATTGATTTTTGAGTGGTCTGTGATTCTTAGCAGCTGCAAGTCAGTACAGGAGACGTAATTGATTATTATCTGCTGTTTGAAATATGATCAGTGTCAAAATCAGACAAGAATTTATTCCTGCAAACTATTAATGTGCTTTTGTGGTATGATAAAATAAAAAGGCATGCATAAAGTAAGGTGTTTAAAAATAGACCTTGAAGTCATTTGAAGTGTTGTCTAGGAAAAAAGGGCTGTGCTTTCCAAAATAGTGTTTTTTACCCAAAAGTAAGTTTTGAATTTAATTTAAAATGTGAAACTATTATGCATTTTTGTGAAGATTAGATCTGCAGTTTTTTTATTTGTTTGTTCTTTTTAATAAAACACTGCCTCAATTGATTTAGAATTTTCTCCTTATCTGAATATTAGGGAAACTAGTAACAGGGCACAGAGCAGTCTGTTAGAACATTAAATGGAAAAAAACTAAATACACAAAATATTCCATGATCTTGTTCATTCTAGCTAAATCAATGTCTCCCAGTGTCAGTAGAAAAAAAGAGTGTAAACTAGACACACTTCACCACGAACTGCAAAGGATCAGACTTGTGCAACCCAGAAAGCTCCATCCCGGGTGACGCTCGAACGCCCGTTGTCAAAATCATGATCACGCAAGACACTGACTGAACTTCTTTTTGCACCCCCAAATTTTTTCAAACTTCCCCTGGGGGTATTTTGCCTCAACAAAGTCCCAATTAGCTGCTCTTACCCAGACTGGCACGATAACTCCAGCGAATTAGGGGATGTGAGGTGCCATGCCAGTCCTATTCATCCCTCTTTACACTAGTTTATGGGGCTTCTGACCTACTTAAAGAGTGTGTGACATCTCTCCCAAAACTAGTCCATGTTCTGCAGAGGGAGCAGTGGACACAGACCGCACACCAGTCCATTGTGGCGGGATTACCAAACTGTCTGTTTGACTCGGGCTGTGACAGGATCCAGTGGGATTGTGGGTAATTAGCCTCATGATGAGCTGTCACTGGTGGGCATGTTGAAAAGATGCTAGTTTGGCTCCACACTAAAAATGGATTCATAATTTGTATTAATTTGCACTTAGCAGACTCCAATGCAATCCAGTTTGGGGGAAAATGTTTAAGTGATTGACTGACTTAATGGCACCATATAGGGTATTGTATTGCATGCTAAATGATATGATGAGAAGTCATTTTAGCCTTTTCTCTATTTCCCATTGGTTCTCAACCTCATTTTCTTTTCTTGCTAAAAGTCAATGTAGATTCACAATACAAAATTCTAGTATTTGGATTTCTGCAAAACGACCTTAAACTGCAATTACTGACTACACTTCCATTTACCATAGTAAGCAATAAGAGTTTTTGGTAATACATTGCAATTGCAGCAGATATTCATGCTAGGGCTAAAGAATTTAAAAAAAAGTGTTTTTTTTTCTCAAAAGCATTGCAATTGCCATTAGATTTGTGATATTTATTATAATAGGATTCTGTTCAAAGTTCATATTTTACTTATGTGTCTTCAAGAATTGACAAAAAGACAAGTAACTAATACAAGAATCACATTTCAGAACATGTTTGCACAGATCCATACTACAGGGTTAAAATTTTTTTGCAGAATTAAAGAAGATATTTTGTTGGGGAAATTATGATTCATAAAAAAATTACAGCTTTTGCGATTTGCTAACTGCGCCCATTCAAACTGCATTTTTTATTTGATCGCTATTAATCTTACGGCCCTAATTCATGCCTTTTAAAAAGCATGGACAAAGGTTTGGTTCATTATGAAGAAATTTAGGAGTTCTAATCTCAAACTGTACCTTGGTAATACAGAAAAAACTACCGCTATATGACATCACAAGGTTGAACAGAGTATTTTGAGCAATAATGAGTAATAATAAACAGTTACTCAGACATGTCTGAATAAAACAAAACACAACTCCAGATATCTTTTTGAGGAGGTAATTGTAACATGGTTTTAAGATCACAAGAATTGTGTAATATAGGACCTTTTAATTAATGGGTTAGGAGATGGGGGTATTGCTTTTCTATTAACCAGTGTTACCAGGTCTAACACTGTAACTAAATGATTCCTGACAGGTAGACGTCAGCGTGGGAGTATGCAGACCCCCCTCCTGTAAATCTATAAGTATAATGATATCCCTGTTCTTGTCCTGACCTGAGCCCCAGAGCCATACTTGTGCCCTGTTGGTTAATACATCCTGTGACAGCCATTACATGTTCGATCCTGAGTGCTTGTGTCCCACCAAAGGGGGTTCCCCGTCTCTTACTGTTTTCAATTAAGACGTGTTATTTCTGTTCATTTTTACAGATGACAAATCCTGCTATTCAGAATGACTTCAGCTACTACAGGAGAACGCTCAGTCGGATGAGGATCAACAATGTACCGGTAAGAATTGCTAGTTTTATTTTATTAGCAAAAATGTGTCCTAATTTTGTTGCAATGCAAAAATTTCAATCCCTATTTCAATACTAAGGAATAGACTTGATACTCGATACCACAATGACACTATCAGAACTATCGTTCTAGCAGATTCCATAGTGGTCCATGGGCGTATATCAGTCTATGTGCTCTTATACTTGTTCTGATACAGCTCAAGATCGTTCTAAAGCTATTCAGAAACAGTTCATTTCTGCCTGTGAATGTGACTTTCTTTTTTAGTGTTGGTGACTTTTTTTTTTTTTTTTAGGATCGATCCCAGCTCAAATGAGTATTTAGTTTCATTACTAGTTTTAATATCGAAATCAATACTTCTGAAAATCCTACTCCTTTCCAATGGTTTTGTACAAGGTTTTAATTTGCTAAATTGTAAATATGGACTCAAAAATGAATCTCGTTTTGTACTAATGGTTTTTAGAAGTTATTATGGAAATACTGAAGTCGGTGCGCTTTCATTATTTCAGTAAGAAGCAGTTTCCATTTGGCTAATCTGTGTTTAACGTCTAATTAAAACCAAATATGTTGTGAAATTGCATGCCGCTTTCTCTCCAGTAGCAGGTCTCACTGTTATGAGACGATCTTATGGCCTCAGATCCTCCCTGTGCATCCATGCAGCCAGCCTCTTATGTAACATGGAACGCTGCTAAGAATAGACCTGTGCATTACAAATCCTGGAGCTCTACATGGCCACGGTCTGATTTAGTATGATCTCTAATGTGGATTTTATTTTAAATGAATGCTCTTGACTATATTAGAAATGTGCGTCACAATGAATGAGTGATGACTGACGTATGAAGCAGGCTGTAGTCATCCAGAAATCAAATCTGATGAATGAAATTTCAAAAGTGAAGGGCATTATATGAATTATTTAATACATAATGATATAATATGTAATGTTTTTTAAGTCAGTAATATAAGTTATGAATGTTCTAAATTGCATATAACAACCCTAACAAAGTACTGAGTGAAACAGTGTCTAAATGTAAATGCCATGGACCGATTTACTAACCCTGTGCAATAACATTTGCTCAGGTGGGCATGACACTTCACCCATCTTCCCTCTTTATGAATGTGCTGGGGGAGGTTGAAATGGCTGTAAGATGGCTAGATAATAGTCAGTCAACCAAAGGGCGCTATGGCTATGGAGACTGAACAAAAATGCAGTCTTTAGCAAGCTTTTGTCATAATTACTATATTGAATTATGAAGATGGCACAATAGTTTTTAGGGGTCAGTATTTATCATCAATACTTTTTTATTTAGAACTTTTTTGTCATTTTTCTGTACAACTATACAATTTGAGCTGTAGAGGATTGAATAAATAACTTTTATGACCAAACCAGCTACTAATTAGTGTTTCATTCTGCTTTTTATTTATTTATTGCAGCTTCGATTTTTATTTTTTTTCCCTACCCTATTGTACATTTAGAATAGTCTGTCCTTGGGTTCTAGTGTTAGTGGCATAAATTAGTTTCAGTATTATCGTCTGTTTTCTTCACCAAAATGCCTTACGTCAAAATTTCATATCGTGACAGAACTACTTTTAAACGTTCATAAATGCACTGCACAATGTTTGAGATTGGTTTAAATTCTTTAGAAGTAGCACAACCCACATGTGTTTAATATTTAGCCATTGCTCGAGTCAGTTGCACTACTTTTGCAGACACATTTATTTGCTGTACTGTCTCCGTAGATGCGTGCCAACTTCCATTACGATAAAACACAGTTGTTTTGTACCAGAATCCCTAACACTCCTTACTTTATAGTCTTATTGTTCAAAGTATTGTTCTCTCAGGTACCTCTGCTCCTATCAGATCCACTTCTCCAAGGATGCAGGGCACACTTTTTTGGCCTAAACTGTCTGATAGAGTTTGTATACACTCTGAATGCAGTGACACTCCCCTTCCCTGGCCCGTCTGTGGGGAGGTATTACTCTTAACTACACCATTAGCTAAATAGGCCTAGGCAGTCATTAGGACGTGTCACCGTGGAGACGCATCCAGACTCCTCCAGCCTGGCGCGCAGATGAAACGCTCCCGTCCCGCTGTAAACAGACTTTGAGCGCCATGTCATCATTTGTTAAAACATGAATTGCTTGAACGTTTTTAGGGGGTTATTCTTATTCTGTCAGTGTTCTCATGAAAACAAAGATGTGTTATTAAAATCTGTAGACGAATATAGCACAGTTCTTTGAAAGGTGTTTTCAGTGGTGAATCTGAAAATGAGATGCTGCTGCTGTTGGGAAGTGTGTTTCTTTATAAAAACAAATAATTACCAAATAAACTAATTTACTCTTTTTGCAGTATATTTTTTTCAGTCCAGGGTGTGGGTGTGTGTGTGTGTGTGTAAATGTTTGCAAGTGTAACTTATGCATGTCAGCAACACACCCCTGCAGTTAGAGAGATGGTGCATGTAATGTATGCTAATTGGGCTGTAAAAACACACATAGCAAACTCCCATTAATGCAAGCACATGGAGAAAAATACAGTTTGTACTGTATATAATGGGACTTATCAATATAAGAGCTTATTTGTACAGCCTTATTTTCTGCTTAAAGGGCCCATATTAGGCTATTTTCTGATCTGTTATAATGTTTTGTTTTGTTTTGTTTTATTACCATGTTTGAAGGTTGCATTCTTGTTCATATTTAGACTGTGTTCTTCTCTCAAATGGAAAACACTCTGTTTCACCTCATGATGTCATGTGGTAATAAAGAAAGTGCTCCACTGTGTTTTTAAACTCTACACACTTTCACCAGAATCATTTGGATGATTTCAGCCCTGGAATTGTCAATGTCTACTGAATTAAAGGCAACTGTTAACCTACTGCCTCGTGACATCACAAGGTGGAACAGCATTCTGAGATCTAGACAAATAATGCAAGGTTACTCGAGGTGTGAATCAAACAAAAGACAACTCCAAGTGTGTTTCTGATACAGTAACTCTTCTAACATGTCTTAACTCTCACAAGAGACAATTTTACACGTAATATAAGACCTTGATGGAAGATGTAGTGCTTACTCTAGTACCTTTATGGTGAAGAAGTGGAACCTATTACAGTGGGAAATGATGTGTTCAAGAAAATAGTATAAGAAAATAGTAATGAATCAACCTGTTCAATACAATGTGAGATTATCACAAATTTCTTTTATTATCTTGACCCCCAAATCCAAGCCCCACTATAATCTGAACCATTTTATTCTTATTTTGGCTGTTGTGGAAGTTTTTGTCTGATTAATATTTAACACTCAACAAAATACTTTCAGTGGCTCAAATATTTGACTTTTCTTAGGCGGAAATTGAGAATGAGGTCAACAACGAGCTGGCCAATCGGATATCTCTGTTCTACGCCGATGCCACGCCCATGCTCAAGACCATGAGTGATGGCACCACCAAGTTTGTGTCTGAGGTATGTAACCACACAATATTAAAACACATGTATTTTATTCATTCATCATTGATCTTTCATTTTGTAAGCTTGATTTATGATCTTTTTGCTTTATAGAACAAGAACCTGCCTATTGAAAACACAACAGATGTCTTAAGCACAATGGCCAGTGTATGCAAAGTCATGTTGGAAACGCCGTAAGTGAACCTCTTTGGGAAGGTCATTTATTTGGCAACATGCTTTATTCTTTGCCAATAGTTATTGTTTTGTATTTTATTCTTCTAATTAGCTGCAGTGCATACAGCAATTTTTAAAGACCTCTTGTGCTTGTGTCTGTTATATAGTTATAATCTATGACATCCGTGGATCATTGTTATAATTTGGACATTTTAAATTGCAGAATTGATCTAAAACTGTTTAATAAATGAAACAAGTTAGCTGAATTCTGTGTTAGAAAACTGCGGTGCCCAATGAGAGCTCATGTCACTGTGAACGTCATCACAACAAAGGGTTGTGAAGTTGTGAGCACCACCTGTGGATGACTGCACATCATGCTAGCAAGCCCCAGATTTATAATTTTTTATTCATACCAAAATGACTACGTAAAGCTTCCAAATCCTATGCGTATCACAGATTAAGAAAAATAAATTGGAGAACAGAGTTGGTACTGAGCAGTGAGTGTGTAGTGGTGAAAACAGGAGTTGATCTGCAAAATGGCATCTTGAAAATAAATGATTTAAAGATTGCTCAGACACGTGCACGTCACTCCAAATACATTTGAGTGGCAGTAAATGGTGATGAGGAAATGAGGGACAACAACTAGAACATGGTTGAAAGCTCATGCATTCAATCATCAGTTAAATTATTTGTATTATCTGTTTATATATTTACTTAATCTATACATAAAGTAAGCCCTGTGCTTCATTGATGTACTGCAGGGAGTACCGGAGCCGATTCAGCAGTGAGGAGACTGTCTCCTTCTGTCTGCGGGTCATGGTGGGCGTCATTATACTGTACGACTACGTTCATCCGGTCGGAGCTTTCGCCAAGTCGTCCAAAATCGATGTGAGTCTGTTTAATCTAACCCCACCCCACATGTCCCTCACTGCCCTCTGACCTCCTCTTAATCTGGTTTATGCTGCACAGATGAAAGGCTGTATTAAAGTCCTCAGAGACCAGCCGCCCAACAGTGTGGAAGGCCTTCTCAACGCTCTCAGGTACACTCTTCTTTAGGCTGGATTCCATTATTAGGCATATAGTTTAAGGGAACTTTTATGGTAGAGGGTCCACCACCAGCTTTTCCTTCACTGATCTGTAATTACTTTGCTCAAAATGTTCCCCGTATGGCAATAAACTGGAGCATCTCTAAAAGCAAGTGGGTAACACCACCAGGTCAAATCACAGGTCAGATCTGTTTTTCAAGGGATTTATAAGCAGATAAACACCTGGAATTTAATAAATGCAAAATAAGTGTAATGCCATTAATGCCATTTAATGCCATACTGCGGAACATTCCAAGCAAAGCAACCTCCACAAAATAAGTTACAAGATGATTATTTTCTGTCACAGCAAATGAACCAAAATGATATACATTTTCTTTTTGCTGTTGTATCAAAAAGCGTTATTCTAGGGTAACAGTCTGGCTGATATGTTCACAATAGGGAGTTTGTAGACCCAATCCCTTATTTACTTAATATCAAAATCAGCGCTTTTATCTTGAATATTCAAGTGTCCCTCACCCTCAAAAAAAGATATATGAATACAACCTTGGCTTCTCCTTGGCTCTGGTGCACTGTAGACTGTAGGCAGACAGCTGTTAGAACGATAGGCCACACTCGGAGCGCTGTGTCTGGTGCTGTGAATCATCTTACACTGGGCACTGGGCTAGTGATGGGGTCAGCTGTGAGCCAGCACGTTTGGGCGTCAAAGCCTTTTCACATGGGACCATCACATGTGACACCCTGACCCACCCGTCCACTCACCCAAATGTGAGCTGGCTGTCCTGGCCCCTGCAGCTGCCCAGCCTGACAGGGCCAGCCTCATGTGTCTGTGCAAGTCTCATCGAGAGCGCACAGCAGGCAGGCTCTGTCAAAACACATGTGCTCACCCAAAAACTATATGCTGCGGAACTTTATATGATGGATACTTTTCTAAATTTTGTATGCTTTTAAAATGTACTGTAAAATGTAAAATGCTATGGTCATGAATATGGCCAAAATAAGGTCAGAATAACACATACACACAGTACCGCAGAGGCAAAAATATAAAAAACTAATTAATGAAATGTACACTATTGGTCAAATGTTTTAGAACACCCTAATTTTTTCCAATTTTTTTCATTGCAATTCAAATTGTGCAAGTCCAATGACAGTCCAATGACTGTCCAATGAGCACAGTCTCCAGACTTAAACCCCATTTAACTGGTTTGGGATGAACTGGACAGAAGAGTGAAAGCCAAGCAACCAACAAGTGCCACACATTTATGGGAACTTCTGCAACAGACTTGGGAAGAACTTTCTGAAGAATATTTGATTCTGTTGTAAAAAGAATGCCACGAGTGTGTTCAGCTGTTATATCTGCCAAAGGTGGATACTTTCATGAGTCAAAAGTTTAGAATACATTGTGGTCAACAGTAAACGGTAATCGGTAAAAACTAGAAAATGTGTGGTGTTCTAAAACTTTTGACCGGTAGTTGTCTTCAATAATATTTTACCTGATATAAGGTGGCAGATAAAAATAATATCTGGAAATATTTGTTTACTATCCTGGTAACCATATTTAAGCATATGTGAAATTACTGTAATATTACCCACACAGTTTATTACTTATTACATATTTATTCAATTTTCAGTGTCAATTTTTTCAGCTTTTTGGGGTGACTTTCTATGCCCAATATTAAAATTTTGCAATACAAAACTATTTAAGTGATATTTTGATGTATTGCCCAGTCTAAAATCATTTATTTTAATTTTGTATTTATTTGACCTCCATTAGCTTCGAAAGCACAGCTACTCTTCCGCTTTAATAAATGTTTAATAAAAAATAAATACACTTCTCCGCACAATAATGCTACTCTGTCAAATATTAGTACTGCATTTCCATTCATACATCACTGAGCTGGCCAGACATGCACAGTGTAACTTGGTACACAATCAGTAGTCTGCACCATCAGCACCCACTAAGTGACCATCTCATGTGCAGTATATTAATATTGTGTCACTGAAGAACATGCATATTAAAATAATGGTAATACATTTAATTTTACCATCGTACCATCTTCCTTTTCTTGAATCCTGTAAATTCTACCCATTTTTGGAGATAATAAGTATTTTACTATGAACATTTGGTGCCCTTGTCAGTGATATGCACGATCCAAAACACATTGTAATCCCATACAAGCATTAACTCCAGCCTTCTGAATCAAAGCTAGCATTGATTCCGAGTAAATTCACTGGGCGTCTGGCACACTACACACATTTGCCTGGAGCTGTATGTAAACGCGTGTGTTTAGCTATAGCATGTTGACTTCACGCAGGCTTTTTAATAGAACGTGCCTCTTCAGCTGAATTTCAATGAGGATATTAAGGGAACGAAAGACATCTCAAGACATTAACTACGACTGTGTGCTGATGCCGTGTTTATTATTGTCCCCACAGGTACACGACCAAGCATCTAAACGACGAATCCACCAACAAGACTATCAAGAGCATGCTGCAGTAGAAGTAAAAGTACTCATAGTAGTAGTAGTTGTAGTAGTTGCTGCCTGATGTACTACTGCTACCAGGGGAACGCCACTGTCCTGACTGATGTCGCTGCACAGAATGTCTTTTTGCTTTTTTTATTTAAATTTTTTTGTTACGGAGATAAAAAAGAAAAAATAATCATACTCCGCCCTGTTTTATATAATGCAAAATGCTACTGCCGTTATTCTAAAACGTCTTTTTCGGTGCCAAAAAGATGTTGCTGAGATGCTTTCCGTATACAGGCCACGCTAAGATGGCAGCTACCGTAAGCATCGTGGATCCTCTGGTGTTTTTAAATCTTTCCCTGTGTCAAGGGACAGGAGCGCTTTGACTTGAAAAATTAAAAAAGAGAGAGATATATAGAGAAGTATATATTATTTTCGTTATTTAAGATTACATCCTCTGCATGGTGATAATTTAAAAAAAACTCTGTTGAATTTGCTCAATTGTGCATTAAATGTTTTGTTATCGGAATGGTACTTCATCGACGTGAGATAAAGAGTACTGTTTTTATATTTTTTATAGTTTTTAATTTTGTGCGTATGTCTTTTTCATAGTTGTGTTGTATTGTTTTGATTTGAACTTTAAACTGTGATATGTGCAAATCAAAAAGTATCATTGGTAGTCTATATACTGTCAGTGTACAGTATGCTGAGGCTGGATAAATTAAAGGAGAACTCTTGTTTTCTACTCATGCTGTCCTGAATGTATTTATTTATTTATATATTTTGGTTTGATTCACTGACGCAGCCTTTTAGGAGCAGCGGGGAATTGTAAAGCAGTGCCTGGAAACCCTTCTCCAGATCTGGGACAGGTTCATAAACACGAGAAGGTAATTTGTGGATTAGAATACCGGAGAGCCCAAGGAAGACAGAGTACATGCTAGGGCTTTGCATGATCCCGGAATTTTACCTACAACTTTCTATGTATGAATCGAAGGCCCTAACCACCTGTATTTTACCATTTTGGTGAAAGAAACAGGACAGAAAATCACATAAATGTTGAAAAACTGACGTACAACATAGTATTTCAGATGGTAACAATGTATATAATAGGTGTGTAACAATGTCCAATCCCTCGATACAATATTTTCACGATATGCATGTCACAGTACAATATTTATTGCAATATTTTATTTTATTTTTTCCTTTTAAAATCCCCTGACAGTCCTTTGGTCCGTCTTTTCCGTCATCATCCAAAGAACTTCGATTTAAAGTGATTACTAACGTGTTCAACAATTTCTTCATGCTGTCTGTGCTGAAATGAAGCAAAGGATCATGGTCTATGTAGTTCCCTTGCCTTTTTTAGTTGATGCTGTACTATAACAAAGAATTTAAGCAAAAAGAATTGTAATTCGATATATTGTGATGATTACTGTGAGACTTTTGATGACACGATATTTCAGTTATTGTTACATTCCTATTATATAATAATCAGTGTATAATCAGTTTGTTTTCTAGATAGCTTTTTCCGACCCTAAGATGCTTTACATTGGGTTGTTCATTCACTTCATACTTGGTGATGGTTATATCCTAACCTATTATAGCCATAGCTGCCCTGGACTGACTGAAGCGAGACTGCCAATTTGCACCATCGACCCCTTCCCACCACAACCAATACTCACACTCGACATTCACATATGAGAAAGGTGAGTTTAAGTATTCATATTTCACATAAACATACTTAGAGTTGTGCTCTGATTCATTCACAGTTCGTTCATTCAGCCCTGGAATCTAGACTATACAAAAGGTCAATGGTGGTTGTTAACTTGAAACTACCACTTCATGACATCACAAGATGGAACAGAGCATTTTGAGCTTTGGAGATGTGTACTAATGATAAAGGATTCAAACAAAACGCAACTCAAACGCAAAGGTATGCTTTTGGTGAAGTAACAGCATTGTAACTGACTATGACTGGGTGACCAGAAAAATTAATAAATCTCTTGCTATTGTAAGAAAAGTTTGTAAATTTCTGGACTCAAAAACTATACTTACATTATACTATAGTTTAATTTATCCCTATCTGTCATACTGTAATATAGTCTGGGCAAGCACTTTCTCTATTACACTGAACAAAAAATTATTGCTGCTCAAACATTTTGTTCGAATTGCAACTCATTTCTTGCCACTAACATTGTATGCTAATTTATTCATCAAACTTAATATCTATGCGATTAATATTTATCAAATTTATATTTTTATGTATACAATTCTTTGCAATAAAACGACAATCCCCAAACATTTCACATTTTACTTTAAAACTAATGCAGAGATTCATGCATAAAAAAAAATTGCCAAAAAAATATTTTTTATGTTCCAAAAGGTGTCACATCAAAAGCTCATTTTTGCGTACGATACAGAGGCTGGAAATTGTGGAGCCAGTTTTCAGAATTTAATCCACGGTGTTTAAATGTAATTTTTCTTGCTCAACACTTACAGGAGTTAAAAGGTCCTATATTGGACAATTTAAGTATCTTGCTGAGAGATAAAGCAGTAGAATGCGCAGGAGTCACTCCTACACTACATCATCACGCATGACAATATTAGCCTTTAAAATCTACTTTTTGATATGTCTGAAGTAACAAAAAGGTAACTAACAGCATTAACTATCTTGTCATACCTGGCAATGCTTCAGAGTTGACCATTTTGTCCTCACCTCTCAAAAAAACACCCTCATTAAGCTGATGAGATTTCGCTTTTAAAATCCAAGTTGCATAAAGAAAATCTCTACTGAAAAACCCACACACACTTCTTCATTGTCCCACAGATTCAGTGCTATTAATGCGAGCTGTGGTTCTTTTAACGTAATGGCCACTGTCTGCTCCAGTTAAGGCCTCACTCATAACATGTCAATTACTCTTTCTGTCATATAAGAGCACTTTTGGGAGACATTTTGCCTTTTCGTTTAAACCCTTTTCTAATCTACTTTCAGTACATTTTTGATCTTGGAAAGGACACTTCTACTTATGCACTAGTGTTGGAGACTTCTCAGGGTCAGCAGCAAGGAGGAGGGTGGGTCCTATAAGAATCAGCAGTGCATGGTGGACTGAAGGATGTAACGATAAAAATGAAAAATTGTCTCTCTCAGATTTTTTTGGGGGGAGGTAACTGCTAGGTCACATATGGGAGAAGTCACACCAAAACTTGTACGTGTTACTGTTCTCACTCAATAACAGTTCACTAAAATATGAATGAACTCACACCACAAAGTTCACATTTATTAGACATAGTTGCGGTTAAACAAGATCTTTTGCATGGTGTGTGGACAAGCCTCTTCTATTTTAAAACTGTCAGTGTGTGAGCTTATTAAAGGGGGACATTTTATGGGCTTTGATCCATGTGATGGCCCCCTTTAATAAGCTCACACATTGCAAAAGATCTTGTTTAAGCACAACTTCCACATCTTCAGCCTCCATCAAGTGTGAACTCTGTGGTTTTGTATTCAATCATAAAGGGGGACATATAATCCATGTTATGTGTGTTACATCATCTTTAACTTATATTTTGATTGGTTCATTCCATAGACTGTATGAAGAAGTGGACTATGGCAACTAAGGCGGCTCCAGTCAAATGAAGCTCACGATGCTAGTGGTTATAGGAGCGAATTTGGAGCCATGTTTCATATTAGGAATAGCCAGACTGGCGCCACCTAGGTCAGGAATCAGAATACACTAGACGGTTTGCAAGAAGAGTTCTGGCAGCAGCCAATCAGTGAAGAACCATACATTCTGTGTTGATTCCCGAGATTGAGGATTTAAAGCCGGAACAAAGAGAATGTTTGGTGAATTTTATCAAGGGGAAAGACGTTATTGCCCTTCTTCCAGCGAGATTTGGGAAAAACTTAATATACCAGTTAGCCCCCTTAGCGGAGCATTACATACGTCACGACCAAATAACAGCGACTGGTTAAATAAAAAAAGTACTCACCTACCGTTGAACGAATGAAATCTAATGCTGTGAGGTCAGGCAGTTTCCGTGAAGTGAAACCAGCTGATGAATGAATCTGTATTATAATTTATAAATTCATAATAAATGTAAAAAATGTAAAATATAAACACGATGGAGCTGGAAGTACCCTCATGCTCACTTGCTATTGTTGGAATACTGTGGCTAGTGGGTTAGCTATGTCTGTCTATATATATAGTCTATGGGTTATTCATATGTTTCAATAAGTTTGCATAATCTGGCTTTGTCTTGCATTTGAGGCTTGAGTCCTCCGAAAATGTGTGAATGAAACAAAACACTACTCCGGTTGTTGTTTCCTCATTTCTTGAAGAGGAAACAACATAACAGATCAGAAAGTAACATAATATGGGCCCTTTAATGTTATCCAGACAAACGTCACATTATCAAAGCATCTACATGGAAACAAGCAGGTTGCGAACCAGAAAAGTTACATAGTGCCACTATGTAATAGTGTAATATTTGTGCTTATATCTATAATGACCTTACATTGACTTGTATACTTCCCCATGTCCCCGAATGACCAGCTCTATATGCGTCTCATGCTCTCAGCTCTGAACAGGAACTTGGTGATGTTGTTCTCACCTCGGTTTGAACGCGGCCGTCTGAGGGGCCCCTGGGAGCCAAGTGTGAAGGCTCCCTCAGCTGGCACACGGGAGCCAAGAGCCTGGGGTTTATGACTGAACATGCCAGAGAGTGCATACGGATCCTGAAGGGAAATGGAGCGATGCATGATGGGAACTCACGCAACATCACTCCCCATGTGTTTAAGAGCTTTAAGAGCTTCCCAAGGACAAACCGCTGTCTTTACTGCGTCTTTGAAACGTGCGCCAACTGTCTGTGAGCCTGAGAAGAGTAGAGGGGTGAGACAGAAGTAACTGAAGATTTTGTTTCACACAAGTATAGTGGTGAAGTGTCTTGCCCAAGGACACATTGTGACAGGATGCAATAGCAGAACCACCAGCCTCAGATGGGCAAGTGTCTCCCAAATGAGCTACAGTCAACTGCCACTTAACTCAAACTTGAAATGGTTTTGTGTTTGGCAGTGGAACTCACTCACAATGTAATTTAACATCATTTCACCAGGCCCCCATCTAATTATCTCCATGGCAACGTGGTTATTTTGTCTGTAAAGTAACAGGCCACATCTTTGGGGATGCGAGCCACTCAATAAGCATAAGTCTTTTCTAGATGCACCGATCCAGCTTTTTCATGTTTGATACCCATTTTAATACTGTTTAAGTGTCTGCTGATCCCCAATATTAACTGATACTGATTTACCGACCTTGAAAAAATACTATTAACCCTGAGTACTCCCTTCTTTCATAAGTACCACTACAGTACGGTGGCACAGCCGTTAGAGTAGTTTTCAGTATTGCTTTGAAAACCCTGAGAACGTCTTGTGTCCGTAAACCACAAGGCCCTGACACGTTGCTCATCTGTCTCTGGGGGTGAGACAAGTTCACTTTTCTCAGAAACCCAAACGGCTGTGCCCACACCTCCCCCCCCCTTCTCCACCTCTCCACCTCTCCACTCTCACCCCCCCCCAAAACCATCCCACTTCCTCCTAACATGGCAGCGCTCTTAGTTAATCAGTCGTGTCAAAACATCAACGGCTCTGTGTGGGTGCAGAGGATGGGGTGTCCCTGCTAAAGATGGTGTCTGGTTGTAATCGGAGACAGTTGGACAGACTTTGGCACGGGGACAGGGCTGTACTCGGAACCA